TGCCACATTCTCCCCATGAAGTTTGGATAACGCCACCTGCAGCTGAACCAGTGTCAGGACATTTTAGCCTTTCATTTTTAATTGGAATGATAACTGTGGGCACATGTATCCCATCTAACAAGCATGGTGCAAGCAACATCCAACAGACCTCTTAACCGTGCAGTGCAACATCGAGCAAAGATATTACTTTGGACTCCAGGAAGCAGCATGGTCAGGTTAGACTGGTAAAACTAACTAAAACCTAATCAGTCTAGAGAGCTGATTAGTTCAGACTAGGTACTTTTGGCCATTTAATTTCCTATTCTGTAACTAGTTAAATTTCAGCAAGCTTTCAGATCACTACATCATGCTACATTTTACATACCATATCCTAAAATAATGTTGTTGCTCAGATCCTTTATTAAGCTGCAGTGGAAAAAAAGCCATTAGTGATAACTGGCATCACTAAAGCTTTAAATCTTCAGGCAACTTTACAGGAAATACACCTTTCCAATGCATCTGAGTGAAGAGATTGATATGATTAGATGCTGAGCGTTCTGGTCTTCATTAGAGAAAACACATTAAAAAGTAATTATGATTTAATTTCCTCAACTATTCACTCATTTTAAGTAGCATGTATGAGTCAGTACTTTTTTTGATTGAGGCTAGAGCACTCACCGCCTTATACAGTCAAATTAGTAGAGAATTCCAAAGATACATTTATTTTTAAATTATTTACTCCTATATTCTTATATTCTAAAGCAGTGATATATTTTTCTGGCTTGATTCCAGACACGGCTTGCTCAAGAGGATTTGCCAGAGTGAAGGGTCTTACCTGTGAAGGTGAAGTTTTTGCTTCTTACTCAAGATGTCGCCTTTTTTTCTTAATAAAATGGAAATGAAATAAAAGGGGATTTGTTATATTGTTGTTTTTGTCAGACATAATCATACTGACCTTAGATTAATGTTTTTACAAACAGTTACTGACTGTTGGGAAGTGTTATGTTACACTGTTTGTTGGAGAATATCAAAAAGATACAAAGAAAATGGAACTGCTCCTTCAAAATGCATTTAGTCTTTTTAGTTGTTGCTTTCTCTCAGCCATATCCATCATCTTGTCTTAAAGATGAGAATGTGGCATCTTAGTGTCCTGTGACTTGAAGATCCTGCAAGAGCCCTTTGAGACTGAGACAGATGCTTGTTCAGAACAGTGTTCAGACCTTAGTACAGTATGGATGAAATTTCTTGATTTCTTTCAAGTAGCTTAGATTCTGAATAAAGCTGTATCTGTCTCCTCCAAATTAGCATGTAACTCAACTCTTTGTTTCCCCAACAGATGTAAATGAGTGCGATGTTTTCCCGGGGGTTTGTCCCAACGGGCGGTGCATTAACAGCAGAGGCTCATTCCACTGTGAGTGCCCTGAAGGACTGACACTGGATGGAACAGGGCGAGTGTGTTTAGGTAAGAGCACACTTAACTCTGCCAGCTTTTTAGCTGTGTCCAACAGTTGTCCAAAATTGTTCTCAAAGGGTTGCGAAAGGATATTTAGTTTGTTTCTGAATTCCTTCAAAAGCAGTTTGTTAAGTGTATGTTTTAGTTTGGGCCTGCTTAGATATCAAATGTGTGTGCCAGTTCAGGGAAGTTAATCCGTTGGGGGAATATGAATGTGTTCGGAGTTGATTTGCTCGCAGTGCAGTCGATAGGTTTTGCTAGAGTGCTACCCTACCCTACTAGATGGGAGCTAAGTAGGATAAGCGGTCAGCTGGTCAGCCAGCAGCTTGTAACACAGTGTGAACAGTGCTCTTCTCTATTGCTATCTAGTCATATTGTGAAACTCGGGTACTACCTTGTAGCATGAATATGCTGGTGAAAATTGGTCTGTATGGAAGTAATCAAAATGTGTATAGCTAAAAATAAGACTTCATCTTTGTTGTACAGATTAGTATCTTCTAATGACAAAACATGATGTCTGTGAAGACGTATTTCTCTAGGGAATACTTCAGGTATGAAAAATACTGAACCCCTGTGTAAGTCCAAGAAAACAGAAGTATCCTGTAGGAAGTGTAGTTAGTGTTATTAACCTGCATATTTAGAAATCAATGGTTAGAGATGAAAAAAGATAAAATGAGGATACCAGATGTTTAGAATAGATTCTGGAATCTATATGATTTTTTCTTACCAGTTCTAAGTACTGTAAAAATATGATTACTGACAGTATTGATTTCTTTCGAGGAAACAGTGCAGCAGAACAAAAAAAAAAAAAATCAGCCCTTTCTTCATGTCAAGGATTTTTCTGCTCTAACCTTTATTTTTTTATTTCAACAGTGTTCTTTTCCCTCAAGCAAATTCAGATTTAAGCAAACACTTTTGCTTTAATTGCACTATGCCTTACCAGTAGCTGACACAAATAGTTACCAGGTTGTGGCGGCTTTTAATGTGAATGTAATTTTAGAGATATTTTTTTACATTAAATGGAATTTTGAAATTAAGCGATGTGTATAATCATTATGAATTTCTCAGGAAAAAGAAACAATTCAAAACCAAGTCTGCCCAGATGCACATATCTGTTATGTTTGTGCATATCATACACAGTTTTGCATGTTAAGTTTTACTTGATATTTCACCCCGCCCCCAAACCCCCCCCCCAAACCAAACTCTGTTGCCAGCCACTGGCATTTGTGGCCATCAACTCTGTATTATTTCCTAATGAGAAATTTGATAGGGATAGGTGTGAATTTAATTGTCATTGATAGAGATGATGAAAACCTGCCATTTTCAAGCAAGACTCAGGATTTCTTTACCCTCAAAGCCATCTTCCCTTTTATTATTTTAATGAAAAAATGACCTTTAAGGTTACAAGATATGTGCCTTCTCCTGTGCTAAACAAGCACTGTGCACTATGTTATTTCTGAAATATGTTTATTTTCTGAAGGATCTACTACAGTGATTTTAATGCAAACAAATATTTATTAGCAGTATGCTTGCTGATTCTCTGGATATGAACATAAATACAATCTTGATGTGGAATAGTTTACAGAAAACCATGAGTATTCTTTGAACAATTTCCATTTATTATACTTGCTTCTAAATTATTTGTCTTCAGATGTCCGTAGGGTAAATTTATATAAAGAATCTGCACAACTTTGAAGGTCTTGTATGGAAAACAGTTCAGCATCTCATCAGTGTTTTTAGATCTTACATCTTCTCCAAAGCTTTTTGCGCTAAGCATTTAAGAGTTCTGTTAGGTTTGCTAAAGCCTAACTTCCAGTCCAGTATATCATACGAAACATTGATGCTTACATTTATCCTGATAACGCGGCTTGACCTCCAGTCCATTTCAGTCACGTCAAAAGGGTCTAGAATACGGACATAGAACAGAATACATGGTGTGTCCTTGTGATCTTCCTTACACACTGAAAATAACTCTCTTTTCCTGAACAGCATTGAGCTTTCAATACATTTCTCTATAGTATCACAGACATCTTCTCTAGCATTGTGTAACTGATACTGTCCATTTCCCACGATGGGTATTTTTTGCCAGAATTTTGGAAATTGAGCATGGAAATTCTCTTGTGTCTTAGAGATTAACGTGCAAAGACTTAACCCATTTTTATACCGATTTTATATTTTAACAAATACTAAAAAAATTTCTAAAAGTCTTAAACTGTTTTTCTTTACTGAAATACAAATAGATAAAAAGTGTGGAATGTACTGATACTTTCAAAGGGGTTATTACTGTTATTTTTTACTGTATGTGAGATATAGCAAAGCTAATTTTTTTCTCTGTGCAGACCAGTGTGTGGTGCTTCTCCTGACAGTTGGGTATGCAAGTACAGCTTTTACTTGTACGCTTGCTTGACGTGTCTTTTGGTTGACATGCTTTTCTGTGAATGGGACCCTTGAGTATAACCGTAATTAATTTTTCTGGAAACCATATTGTTTTCTCCTGCTAACTGGTGTTAAAGTAAGCCTAACAATGGACAGCAACTTCTTTTTTTTTTACTGTATTCCTTGTATTATTAATTTAATAATATAAACATAGGTAGGAATATTTTTTTTAACAAAGAATGCAGGTCAATTTGTGAATGAGACTACCAGATACAGTAAAGAAATATATGTCTCTGTCTTATCAAATACACATAGAAACTTGAAAAGCACAATCATGTCAGAGTAATGGTATATCTTCGTCTTGGGAGATAACAAAAGAAACACTTGTGCTTTTATGTGGTACAACATAGATCCAGAAATGTAACTGTATTGCAATATTAGCAACTTCAAATGGTTGAACATTATGGAGAAGTGTAGAGTCTTGAGCAGAAATCTGTCTCCCAGAAAATTGGCCTCACGTGTACTTGTGCCTCAGAAACAGATGCTTCTGAAAAACAGAAAACTTTAGCTAAGGGTAAAATGCCTATTTGTTGTTGTAAAATGAGCAGATATTCGCATGGAGCAATGCTACCTGAAATGGGATGAAGATGAGTGCATTCAGTCTGTGCCTGGCAAGTTTCGTATGGATGCCTGCTGCTGTGCTGTGGGGGCTGCCTGGGGCTCCGACTGCGAGGAGTGTCCTAAGCCTGACACCAAGGAATATGAGGCTCTGTGCCCCAGAGGTCCTGGCTTTTCCAACAGGGGAGATATTCTAACTGGCAGGCCATTTTATAAAGGTAAGGGTTCATTCATGGATCTAAGACATGAATGGTAGGCACATCTGGGTGAATATTCTAAAGAAATGCCAGGATTTGTGTCTATGTTTGTTACATACTTGCAATGAGAAATGTTATAAAGATGTTTGCCTGAAAGAGCGGACCTTACTGTCCACTTACAGTGGGAAAGTCTCTGCTTGCATGATGCCCAAGTGTATTACAGGAGCCTAAAAGAAAAAGTTGCAAAGTTTGAATTTGGTAAGGTGAAAAAGGAAATTACTATGACAGGACTGAAGGGAGGGGAGCTCTAAATGATGAGAAAATATGCACCTTTTTTAAGGTAGTGCTTTGCAAAGACTGAACTGAGGGTCAGATGAAGTTCCATAAAGTCATGGAGTTAAGGTGTAAACATATACTAGAATTTTGCCAGAGTTCTCTGAAAGAGAGACTGAAGAAGGATGCATTCCTTCTGTGATTTGCAGAATTAAGAAGTGATTGAAAGGGAAGGGTCTCTGTTGCATTAAAATTATAAGGGCAATGATAACATGGAGCTGCAGTGATAAAGAAGTAAATAAAAGCCTTTTGTCCGGTTTTTACTAGCTTCATCTACTGTAGAACAAAAAATTGAAGAGGCTGAAAAGTACTAAGGAACAAGGACTGAGATATTTTAGATGACTGAGATCTGAGAAGAAAAACTGTAAATTTCTGTGTGTAGAAGATGAGGTGATCTGGAAATGTTTTAGTATGTTATTTATTTTTAAAACGATGTGAAGCATTTGTCTTGAAATATTTTGAGTTGCTTGAGAAAACTTTAACAGTTTGGACCTCTGCTTCACTGTAAGCTCTGATTTTCTGGAGTTACTTATCTCAGCCAAAGCTCTCAGCGGTCAGTGGTGATATACTAAACAAATAAGGAATTTAATACTAATAATATTGTTTATTAAAATTTATTTAATTAGAAATAAAAATATCTTAGTTATTTAATAATAATAAAATCGTGTCTGCTCCAAGATTTTTTGTAAGGCTTTGCTTCTTGTTTCTGCTTTTGTATTTGGAACACACCTTTCTTCCATTCAAACTAATACATAGGAGAGAGAATTTTGTTTCCTCAAAGATGATTCTTGGATAAGGACATTTGTCCAGCAAATTATACCATAGAGTGTAAGAAAAGCACATTCAAGTTTGTAAAAACTGTTGCAGGGGTGCATATGAGAGAGGCTGACACACGGAAACCCTTTATTTGTCCCGTGCAAGGTACTTTTAACAGCCTGTGTTATCCATCTGCCCAGCAAAATGTATTTAGAAGGGGTGAAATATTTAATTTGAAATTCTACAAAAGAAAAATTACACTTTTCTGAACTGAACTCCAGATATCACTCTGGCAATCTCAATTTTAAAAAAGCCCCAGTCAACCAGGTAATAATTACATCTTTTACAAGTTGTCTCAGGACACTGTGAATGTTGTTTGTGTTAAAAAGCAAAACAGAGCACATACTGGCATCCTGGGCAAAAGAGTCTCAACTTGAAGAATTTCACTGAATTTAGTTGATTGTTGATTAACATACATTTTTAAATTACTGGTTTGTGTAGTGAGAAGCAAAGAAAGCATGAACAATTTAGTGGGTAGGAAAACATCTTTTCTCCCTTACTCCCAGGCTTGTCTTCAGCCCAGCACCTCTCCTCCACCCTTACTGGTGTCCAGCCCTGCTAGTCCCATGGATGAGGCAGTTATTACCACAGGGCCTTGGGGACTCTGCAGTGGTTTCTCTTTGTCACCCATTTGTGGCTTAGCCTTTTGTTTTGCTGATTGTTTTTCCTTACTCATTTCCTGTGCCCTGGCATGGGCTCCTCCATGGGACAGAGGCCCTCAGGGGTGTTCCTACTCCAGCATGGATTGTCCACAGCCCGTGCTCTTTCAGGATGTCCCAGCCACAGTCTGGATTACTCATGTACTGTTGTCCCTGGGGGATGTCCCTGCCCCAGCATGGATTACCCAAGGTCATGGTCCCTTAAGGATCTCCCTGTCCCAGCAGGGGTTGCATGTGGGTCACAGTCCCTTGGAGGCGTCTCTGCCCCAGCATGCATCCTTCATGAGACACTGTCCCTCAGAGTGTTCCTGCCCCTGCTTGGATCACCTGTAGGCTACAGTCACTCAGGCATGTCCAGACCCTGTGGTGGGTCACCCACAGCTCCAATCCCTCAGGGATGTCCCTGCCCTTCTGTGGGTCTTCCACAGGCTGTGATCCCTCAGGTGTGTCTCCACCCTGACATAAGTCCTCCAGGAGTGGCAGACCCTCAGGGGTTCTTCCTCAGACGTGGAGTTCTGCCTTGCAAGGGTGCATCTCCAGTCGTGTCTCCACAACATCCCCTCCTGCTTGCCTTCTCAGTTTCATTTTTCTGTTCTCCTGACCTGTGTAGAAGGAGGCCATCCCTCCAGTTCCCTGCAACCCAAACTGTGCATTTTGTGCCCAATACAGCTGGTAAGAAGAAACAGGAATTTCTCATTAATTATATATATTTTTTTTGTGTGTGGTTAAAAATGTTATTTTCTTTTGTTTTTATTTCATAGATATTAATGAATGTAAAGTGTTCCCTGGTATGTGCATAAATGGTAAATGCAGAAACACAATTGGAAGTTTCAAATGTAGATGTAACAGTGGGTTTACTTTAGATATGGAGGAAAGAAACTGTACAGGTAAGTCTTTCATTTTCCACAGTTTCTCCTAGGATAATAGAATAGTCCAGGTTGAAAGGGACCTCAAAAGATCATAGATTCATAGAATGGTTTGGGTTGGAAGGGACCTCAAAGATCATCCAGTTCTGGGTTGGAAGGGACCTCAAAGATCATCCAGTTCCAACCACCCCTGCCATGGCAGGGACACCTTCCACTAGACCAGGTTGCTCAAAGCCCCATCCAAAAAAAAAAACTTCCGTGGGGGGGCCAGCCACAGCTTCTCTGGGCAACCTGTTCCGATGCCTCACCACTCTCATCATAAAGAATTTCTTCCTAATGCCTAGTCTAAATCTACGCTCTTTCAAGTTAAAACTGTTACCCCTCGTCCTATCACTACCCTCCCTGATAAAGAGTCATTCCTCATCTTTTCTGTAGGCCCCTTTTAAGTACTGGAAGGCTGCTATAAGGCCCCCCATGAAGCCTTCTCTTCTCCAGGCTGAACAACCCCAACTCTCTCAGCCTGTCCTCAGGTATTCCAGCCCCCTGATCATCTTCATGGCTCTTCTCTGGACCCGCTCAAGCAGGTCCATGTCTTTCTTATACTAGGGCCCCCAGAGCTGGGGCCTCACAAGAGCAGAGTAGAGAGGCATAATCATCTCCCTCAACGTGCTGGCCACACTTCTTTTGATGCAGCCCAGGATGTGATTGGCTTTCTGGGCTGCAAGCACACACTGTTGGCTTATACTCGGTTTTTCATCTACCAGCACCTCTGAGACCTTCTCCCCAGGACTGCTCTCAAATGCACTCATCACCCAGCCTGTATCTGTGCTTGGGATTGCCCTGACCCAGATGCAGGACCTTGCATTTGGCCTTGTTGAACTTCATGAGGTTTGCATGGGTCCAACTCTCCATCCTGTCAAGGTCCCTCTGGATGACCTCCCTTCCCTCAAGCCTGTTGACCGCACCACACAGCTTGGTGTCACCGGCAAGCCTGCTGAGGGTGCACTTAATCCCACAGATCATCTGTTCAAACCTTTTGTGGGAAAGAGAGCCTAGATGAGATTATCTGGCTCCCTGTCCATCCTGAAAACATCCAGTGGTGGTGACTCTACCGTGTCCCTGGGGCATTTTAAAGGAACTTGCACTTGATGCATAGTTTG